ATGAAAATCATACAAGATAATCATATAATAATTTGTACACATATTTTATATAACGCAAATGTACACTCGATATATAAACAATAACACACTCGATCCTTTCTTACTTAACATTATCTTTTACTAAATGCATCTTAAAGTACTACACACGATGTTTAAAAAAAAAAATATATATATATATACATATATATATGTATATATATATATTTTTTTTTTAAACATCGTGTGTAGTACTTTAAGATGCATTTAGTAAAAGATAATGTTAAGTAAGAAAGGATCGAGTGTGTTATTGTTTATATATCGAGTGTACATTTGCGTTATATAAAATATGTGTACAAATTATTATATGATTATCTTGTATGATTTTCATAAATTGCAATGTAAAATTCTGCTACAATGGAATGTAGCAGCTAGCTAGTTTCTCTCTTTTCTGTTTGTCTCACAGTTTTGATCGCAATTGTAGATACATCACAAAGTAATGTTTTCCAAGTGTATGTAAAATAAAATTAATATGTATCGAAAGAAGAAATTTAGATGGTAATAGTGAAAATGTCAGTTCTTTTCAATGTGGATTTAATATATGTCAAGCTTATATATAAACTTTGTTGGACTATATACATACGTAATATATTACAATGTAATATTGCAAGACACCGAAGAATTACGGAATAAACAATATTTTTACAAATGAAGCCGTGTGCTGTATCTATCACTATCTTGAGTTTAGGAAATCGGTCTTTATTTTGGCGCGATCCTCTGGAAGTGGCAGGTGCGGTTTGATACCTTTCAATTTGCGCTCATGTTGCACAGAAGCCTGTAAGGAAAATAATCTTATTGAAGGTGTAATTTTGTGGATATGGAGCATTTTCTAGCAAGATACAAATGATAAGGTGTCTTTCATTTAACGCCACAAGTATTCTACCTCTGGTTACTTATTGAATGCCAAGAAAGATAGAAATGATGTTTGTATCAACTTGTATATCACTATTCACTTGTAAACGAAAATCATCCACAGCGAATCCTTGCATCTTTATTTAACATTGGCAAACAATAAGAATAAAATGATGCACTGTATCGATTGTCTTTTGCTAAAAAACGTCCATGAATTTATATCTTTATGGATCGCAGGAGGAAAATTACCCAAAAATCTTTACAATTCTTGTAATTGTCGAAATATCGCTGGCAAGTCTCCCGAGGTTTATCGGAATTGAGGCATTTTAAGGACATGAGATGCTCCTAGAAGTTGAGAAAAACGCAACGTGGTTAACAAAACAGCCATGCTCTGGTTTTCTAGCCATATTTTCTAGCGGTATTTTCTTTTATTTACATTTTCTTAGCTACGCTTTTTCTTCGGCTTTTCTCGATACATAAGCATACACTTGTATCGCTGTAAAAAGGAATACCGAAAATGTGTTTATGCGATAATGTTCGATAATTATAAAACAATAAATTATTTAGATACCTTATAACAAGGATTGTCCGTTTCTTGATTACGTCGTAACGAGTGCCTACTTGTGATATCTTTTCGTTCTGTAACAACATTTGAATCTCTTCCTGTATCCATTTCGCCGACAGAAAAGAAGCCACGAGAAAAGAGTTTACATATAAATAAATACAATTTCTTCCGAAAGTCAGAGGAAGTGTAGCTGCACCATATTGCACTTTTCGCATCCAAGATGATATAATTACGCAGTTACAAGACGAGGAGAGCACGGACTCTTGCATAACGCATAACATATAATGCATAAGAAAATGAACCAATCAAAATCCTTTATTTCCTTCCTTTCCATGAAATAAAGGACTCTGATTGGTTGATTTTCTTATGCCTCATGTTTTATACGTTATGCAAGAGTCTGTGCTCCCTGCTTGAATATCTAAGAAAAAGAGGGAGGACGAAAAAAATGCGGAAAGTTCAGCTGTAATCAGCTGTAAATGCCTGTAAAGTGTAAACAAAACAGTTGTAAAGAATAGATTTGAGGAGATTTTGAGAATTTTATTATTTCATTCTTGACAGTAATACAAAAAGAAAGAAGGTTGGTTTCAGTGTCAATGAAACTCAATTGAAATTTTTATACTGTGTGATACGTTTCTGTCACGATGGTGACAAGTCCGCGTCACGCACGTGGTCGCGAGTTTTGAGGTTAGGTTGACGTTTAACCGACAGTCGCGACAGAGTTTTAAGGAAATCGCGCGAATGAAATAAAAAGCCGAGAAAAACTTTTCTTTTCTGTCGGGATGGAAGTTGACGTGGGCGACGTGGTGATGCCGGGCGACAGTTTAACGAATATCACGTCATTAAAGAAGGAAAACAAAAACGAGAAGGAGATCGTGATCCTGGGCCCTGGAGTGCGTCGTGAGGACGATGCCGTTCTCATCTGCAAAGCGGGTGTTCTGAGAAAACGCGAGCCGGCCGTCTACTATGTGGACAGCTATCAGAAACGGTACAGAATATCATTTTTAGAGGAATAAAATGATGTTTATGTCGACTGTGTTTCCTAAAAGGACAGCAGTCTATGTCGTCTGCTTGTCATTTAGTGATAATCAACACAATAAAAATATAAATCAACACAAATATCATTCTATCTTTCTTGACACTTAAGTCTTGACATTGAGCAAGGTAGAACTTGTGCCGATTTGTGTTATGAAAAACACTTATCTCTTGCTGGAAAGCACTTTGTAACACAGTTATATTGATGCTGAGTCTATAGGATTCATTCAATTTATATTAATTAAAAAACACTAATTAATTTTGAAGAACCAAAACAATGTAACTTGTATAAAAAAGAATAAATATTAAGTACATTTTAATAAGAATATTCAAAACTTGCTGTAACATAAAGAAAATTGAATATTTTTAATAAAGAAATTTAGAATTTAGTGGGTACAACAGGTGGACTATTAGTTTCGGAGGATTAATATATATATGAATTCATAAAATATGTGTGTGTGTGTGTGTGTGTGTGTGTGTGTGTGTGTGTGAATTTTCTTTTTCCATTTTACATTAAACACGTATGTATTTCGATCCAGCATCTTCAGCAAAAATAAAGCTTGGACCAAGCTTTAATTAATTTAATTCTCCTTTTTTGTTTATCCATTTTGAACTATTCTTTATTTTACACAGATACATTCCTAGTCGAGGTGAGAACGTCATTGGTATAGTGACGCAAAAAAGCGGTGACATTTATAAAGTGGATATCGGAGGCAGCGAACAGGCGACATTATCTTATTTGGCCTTTGAGGGAGCCACGAAGAAAAATCGACCTGATATACAAATTGGCGATTTGGTGTATGCCAAATTGCTTGTCGCCAGCAAGGATATGGAGCCGGAATTAGTATGCGTGGACTCCCATGGCAAGGAGAATGAACTCGGTATGCTCAGCTCAGATGGCATGATGTTCACCTGCTCGCTGAGCCTTGTAAGGAAATTACTCAATCCAGAGTGTCCATTATTCAGGCTACTTGGAAGGAATCAGGTGTACGAACTTGCCGCTGGGATGAATGGCAGGATATGGATCAAGGCGCGATCGGTTCAAGAGACAATTGCCGTGGCAAACGCTATTCTAGCGGCGGAGTTCACGGTACCTAGTGAAATGCAAAAACTCTGTTCCAGAATTGAGAAAATATTATTTCTTGTGGCTTAGTGAACTTTGAGGAAAATTTATTTGGATGGATTATTAATGCAAAAGATTAGCATCAAAGATTCAGTGCTTTTTTTTTTTTTTTTTCAAATAAAACTGAGAAATTAGAATAATGCCTTAAATCAACTCGAATGCGTTTTAAAGCCAGTCGCACCTTGGCATGCAAAATAATGACTACTTGCTGTTATCAATGACAGTTATATTTATTGTATAATATTTGCAATAAATTCTGTAAATAAATCTGGAAGAGTTTTCTTAATTGATATTTTATGTGTAGGAATAGTATAGAGTGAGACAACCATTGTGACAACCTGACGTGAATTAAAACTATAGGTACAATTATCACTAAAAGATGTTATCGTATGAATGTACATACAGTGGAAGCGATGAGTACATTGTACAAGGTATTAGCGTGTATATAATTAATATAATTTAACATTAGTTTAGAAGAAAAGAAGACTTGCTTCGTAGGAAATTCAATGTTTAATTTCGCTTTAACAAAAGAAATTTGATGACATTCGGACATTACATATAGGTATCGTATTACTCTAGTGATTGCAGACAGTATCGATATAAAGATACGGAGTGCAGAGCGCTGCTAATTATGATAATTTTCATTACGTCTCGCTGATATGTGCCTAGTGTAATGCTCTCTTCGGCTTGCTCGAGCCGTGCGCGATTATATACGATGTTATTTGCCGTAACAGTCTAGAACAGTGACGATATTTGCACTCAAGCACAACCATTACTTTCATCTTACAAAATGTTATTCGGAAAGCAATATCTAATCCAGTGAATATATCGTTACGTTTTCGCAAAATTTCCATTTAATCAAAGATTGCACAGTATCTTTGTATTTAGTGGAATGTATTCACTGCCATCGCTTTCTAATTAAACGTATACATATAAGAAAATCATTGGCAAAACAATCTCAAAAACATTACTCCTGCTGTTAATAAAGAGAAAGTTAACGAAGTAAAATTAATACTACCTTCTTTTTATCGCTAAGTAAATGTCATGTTTTATGAAATTAATACTATCTTCTTTTTAATTCCGAACATTAAGTTTTATAAAATTATTTTGGGACATCGAAAAGCCCACACGATTTTCTAATTATTGACATCACATAGAGAATGTTTTTGCGCTAATTCAAACAATAACAACTTATCGCTAGATGCACCTATACTACTGTTGACTGTTTGACAGTTTTAAGTAATATATAATACAATTATAATATCAATTAAAAAGAAAGAAAAACAATAAGTATACATAAACGCAACAGAATATATCTACAAAAAAAAAAAACGATAAAAGATCTAGCAAACAAAAACAATAAGTATTGATAACAGAAGTATATTATTAAAGCTCAACTATTCTTTTTTGGTCATTTATGGCCCCTACTTCATTTCACAGCGCCGTACTAAAATAAAATTCTATGACACACATCTAAATGCTACAAAAGAGTACACCATGACACCTTTCAGGATCGGATTTTCCTTCAGTATCTACATCACAGATCTAAAAAAAATTCAACAGATCTTCACAAAAAAGCTAAAAATTTAAATTCTTTTTAGAAAAAAGGAAATATAGAATAAAACAAATGTAAAGCAAAGGCTAAGGAGTTAAGATTAAAATTTAAAAGCTGCATCTCTAACTAATTAAAATTATATATCGAATTATAATTTTAGAAAATTTATATTTACAGAATTATAATTATTCAAAATTAATTACTATTAATTACTATTATTGCACATAATTATGACTACAATTTTTTCTCACATCTCGGAATGTGTCCCTAAAATCCGATCCCGAATACAATTTATTATATACTAACAATAAATTATTGATAATCGAGTCGAATTTACGACATAAATAATTTGTGTGATATTATCTGTTGTAATACACCTTTTCTTTCTTCACTGCTGTTTTCACAATGTTTTTACGAACGCTACTGTGCCAGCGATATGCGGTAAGTTTCACGAAAAAAAAAAAACAAAAACAAAAAAGTTTGCTAGTTACATAGGAAAACATCCAGTGTCTGACATTAATTATCTACTATGAAACTATCGGTAGATTCTGTCATATCATGGAAGAAGCCGTAGCGTTTTTTCTCTTTTTTTTCTGTAGAAACGACACACATATGTTCATCGCACATTGGGATGTAATTAGGCAGGCAAATATGTATGTTGGGGACGATACATGGTGGCACTAGCAACCATAAACATACTAATCTATTGGCATTGTGCTTCGCTTAATATATACGTTTCATCAAAGAGTGCATTAATCATCGAGGTATATCGGGAATAATTATGCAGAATATAGGATAACGATTGTGCACGCACTAACGCGACAGTGCTATTACATAAGTGATGTAACAATAGCCGATGAAAACAAACTTTAGAGAAGCGGAAATAACTATTCGCGAAAGAGGGTGAATATATGAATTGATGCAATATACTTAATTAAAGAGAATAAAAAGAAACAAAATTAAATATATAAGGCATCGACGAAAGAAATTACAGAACGTGAAATAATGATCTAAAAAAAAAGATCTCAAACTATTTCATTTAGTATTAAAGAAACTTTTTTAATTTTTTAGAAAACAAACGTTTTCAGAGTCTATGTGATACTAAAATGAATAAATTTAATGATATATAAAATATTAAAAGATACTACTAAAAAAAGAATCAACATAAAATAAAAACTAAAAGTTATTTGTGAGAAATTATTCTCTCAGGATTGTCCTTTTTCGATGCCTTATCTTTAAAAATTACAAACATATTGTGAAAATTGCGCCTATAGGGATTACTACAATAGCACATAGATTATTACGATGTTTATGATATGAATATAAAATATCTGCCATTATTACTGTAGGTATACATTTACATTCGCGATTATATAATCTCGTCACATCATGAAATATTTCCCTCTACATGATTCCTATCATGATTCATTTTTTTGTTCACATTTATCTATTATCGGCGATTTTCTTATACAATCCTAACAGTAGAAAGGAATAGAAAATATATTTGCTATGCAACTATATATAAAGCGCGGTTGGTGTATGTCAATTCTTCATTCGTGTCAGAATGCCATTAACGTTTCTCGCTTATTATAGTGATGAGATTTGCAGCGAACGCGTTTTCTATATAAAAAAAATAATCTTCATTAGACAAATATGTTTTACATGCGCGTAGATATGCTATTCCCTCCACACAGTACAATGGCAGAAATTCCATGACGCATGATTTTTTTTTTTCAAGTTTGTTATCGCAATCTTTATATCAGCTTAGTAATTAGTTATAAGAATAATTTGTGTTGAATTATTAACGTTTTATCTCTGAGATAAAACGGCTTTCTTTAGCAATTTTTGCTATAGGCATTGGGTATATTTAATATTATATTTGATAAAAAGCAAATGGTTACGTCTAAAATTTCTAATGGAAATCTGGAGAGTCGTATTAATCGAAAAATTGGATAGCTTTGTATGCGCTTTGCTAGTCGTAACAAATTAATAAGAATCAATTATATAATTATAAAAAATAATAATCCTAAAATTATATTCATAAATTATAATTATTATATATAGTTCAGAAAAAAGTAAATTTTATAATCATGTAAAAAATTTACATTATCATACTTTTTGGTTTAACGTTATATCGTTCTTATATATACAGCGTTTTGGACAAAAATAATACGACTCTTCTGTGGTAAATTAAAGAGGGATGCACTATACAAATAACTTTCGTGAGCGAGATTTGTCGATTAGCAAAGCAAGACGCAGTATCACGTCATAGTATAGAATCATCGTCTATCTCGACATATAGATAAATATTACCATCAGGTTTCAGCATAATCGTAATGTATATAAAAAATTGTCTTTACTTATACCTAAAATAGCATGATGTTTCGATTATATAAATATATTATATATATATATATATATATATATGTGTGTGTGTGTGTATGTATACATATACACGTATTTCCATATCATTATCATAATTATTATTGTATTATTTTCTTATATATCTATATACCATTCACAACACAGAGTGCATAGTACGAAGCTGAATGTCGATCCACTTACTCTTATATCGCCATTCTTTTATACACATACATAAATATGTATATTAAAGAATGTGTTAAAAGAAGAAGCAAATCCAAAGCCTCAGTGTAACAACGCACAACCAATTTTTATACAACCTGCGTGCATTAAAGTATTATATCACTTTATAGTTGACTTGAAACTTATATGTGCCATTATATTTTGAGTAAATTTAATAAATTTAATTTATAAAATAATTACGTCTCTCGATCATCGAGAGATATAAAGAAGAGGAATATATTTAAATTATTATTTAGAATAATTTTACAAATTATATACAAATTATGTGTTTAACAAATACTTTAGGAGATAAAGTGTTGTATTTTCTCTAGTAAATAACGACCAGCGATTAATTATAGCAACAGGAGAAAATATAACAGATGTAAAGGAACAATTCATCGAAATCGATTGCTGCTCCTACATCAAACACTCTTTCTCATTAGCAGGAATCAAACGTCCATCCGTTAACTATCGCATCGAACGTTAACATTGAAATCTTGTGCACATGCACGAAAGTGTCCCGAGAGCATTGCAGTATGTCCAGTTGCTCAATTATAATAGAGATTCATTCACGTCTAGTACGACAGTGTTATTCAAAATATGTAATGTGTTTTATCTCCATCTTATTTAAATGTATAATTAAGTGCTAGTAATTATTAAAATCTTATTATTGCACGCGATGCAAAATGCACGTTAATCTTCGCGCGTTATAGGCTGCTGTACCAGGCGACCCATTTCTTTACTTCCTGATTTTCCGACGGTGTTAATGAAAGGTACAGGACTTCTTTCTCAACTAGAAAACGACATTGAAATATCGTCGGAAAATAGTGCTATTGAAGTGGAACGCCACTTATCTTCTCGTACGGTTTATTACATCTATTGATAGTTGTGCTTTGCAGAGTTATCCGTCCGTTTCTTTTTCCTTAGTCGCTGTTTGAGAAAATTTGATTTTTGCGAAACGACGTGCGAGTCGTAGACTGCACAGACATAGTTGTGGTAGTATTAAAGGTGGTGCAAAAGTGTGGCAAAGCAATATTGCGTATCCCTCGAGCAGTCGTATGCAGATTGTGAAAAATATTGCGGACAAAAATCTAACGTATGTAAAAATAATAGTCCATATATACTATATACTGTTAGAATTAAAACAATGTTCTTGTGTCTATATATCTTGTCGAATCCTTTTGAATTCGCGAGATTTTTCCACGGAGCACACATAACGAGCAGCAGCATACTAACAAAGAGTGAGAGTATCTAATCATATTAATTATAAAAAAAAAGTATTAAACGTACTAATTTATTTATTTAAAAAAAAAAAAAAAAAAAAACAATTTTCGCAGATATTCCTAGAAAAGATCTTTCAACGACTTGTGCACACCTTAAAAACGGCAGTAAGTTTGTCATACTGTATATATATAAATATATATGTACGATCGATTGCTTAAATGATAAATGAGCATGTTAAAACAATCCTAATACTCGCATGCCATTCGCGCACATTGAGTTACTTTTTCAAAAAGATAAACAAGTGCAAAACATCTTTCTCTTTTTTGAATATCGTTCGATCATCACGTGATTCACTTTGAGTTCTTTTAAATTATACTCTTAAGTTACAGTCTTACTACAATTCTTTTGGCTCACAGGAGTTCTACTTCCTTTTAAGCTCGGTCACTGAGCAATCATTGTGTATGTCTCATTGAGAAACTATACGCGAGAAAGACAAAGAACGTCCTGCAGTAAACATTTCTAAAAAAATCTATTACCTCCTCTCGCGAAGAAATCTGACATAGAGTCTTACATTCTGGTTTTGAACACTTCATTGTTGCGTTGTAACATCAGAGATCGAACGAGAATCTAAAATCGAGAACCTTCATTTTCTTTTTTTTCTCAATTTCTTCTGTTTCGACAGTCTCGTTTGTTTCTACAAGTTTAAAATCATAACGTTAATATCATTATATTTTGATAGATATAACTCCCACAGGTTCTCAAAAATGAGCTTTAATCTATCTATTTTACACTTTTCTCTATATTACTGCACATATAAAAATCTACTTACGCTTTATCCTTGAAATTGTTTGTAAATTTTCCAAGAATAATAGCAATTTTTTACAAATATTATAATAATATAATATTGGAATCCTTAAAATCGCATTAAAGAGATATGAGTTTTTGCGAAAACTCTTTTAGAATAGAAGCCATTTTTTCGTTCGATCTCTGATTGCAAGAGAAAAGTCGAGGAAACTAGCGAGGCACTTGAAGCTATTGATGGACTGCTGAAGTGTTCCGAAATTTCCTCGAAACGTATTCTCCTTTCGCCATGATCGCTAATAGTCTTGCGTTTTTTAGTCTATCAATTTCGTCCATCATCGTTTTTTATTTTTTCTTTGTAAACAAACTCGAGGCCTTTCCGATTAAATTCAATTACTTACGTTCGAGATGACGTACAAAATTACGTCCAATTTACTCACTTCGGAGCGGAGCAAGTCTAAGCTAAACAAAAAACGCTAAAGCCGTCTAGGTTGCACGACGCTGTTGTTGTTGAGGCGTGTAGTCGTCTGATTATTGAAGTTCTCATCTTGTGGTACGTGCTCGGTGCGCTCGTCGAAAAATCCCGGATTCAGAATGATGTTGGGGACGAGCTCAATCACCTCCTGCTCCTCCAGCTGCGCTGCAATTTCGGAACGGAGATTAATTTTCATTAGTCTAGGCCACGGGTCTCATTAGCTTCTACCCTCTCCCTTCACCGGTTTTTCTTTGTCAGGTATTGTAAACCATTTACACCTCGAAATTTTGTGTCGGTTACCGTATTTTCGAATTATTTCTGACTATTGACAATTTCATTAATGCAACAATAGACTATCAGATTCCGATGCCAATCAAAACACTGTTTGCCTGACAAATGAACCTGCTACCTTTGACCTACCTACCTCGATAATGTCAAAGATCTTATCGATATTATTTAACTAGGCCATAATGCTTTCTATGACTATCGTAATATTTACTATTCATTCATCATCACTAAATTATTTTCGGCAGGCTCGTTAACATTATGTATGTACAGCATAATAAATATCTAATTAGAATAATAAGAGAAAATATTCGTATATCGAAAAAGATTCAGTAATTAGACAAGTAAATCTGCAGCAGGGAAATTTCTATTGAAAGTTCGATATTTCATTCCATGTGCTATATATCGTAAAAGATAAAAATATTGTTTTACTTGTGTGCTCATTGTTAGTGTTCGGTGCGGCAATCTGAAAAGTGTCGTATTTATATAATTGATGGAATGAGATCTCCGTTAAATGATGTCGTATTTGTCAGTAAATGTTGAATCTAATGAGAAGTTTGCAAGGTGCTTAGAATATACAGAAACGAGATATTATAAAAATATTAATTTTTTAAAAAATATGGCTGTCGCGTAAGAGAGAAGCCAAAGATTAAAGTCATAGATAAGTCAGCTAGCCGGCTAAGATGCTAACAGGTCCTGTTGTTTGTTAAATGAATATGATGTATGTTTTTCAGCTATAACTTGCACGAAGGCTTCTATGGAGAGAGAGAACGATTTTCTCGAGCATCGTGCTTATTAGAGAGGCCATGAATGTTATGATCATCACCAGCGGAAAGTAGTAGTAGTAGCAGCAGTAAAGAGACAGAGTAGAAGCGGAAGCTCTTACGGTACGTTATCAGATAGGATGCTTACAGGGTGCCTTGCACTCGCGATACAGTAGGTAACAAGTACCTAAACCAAGAATCATAAGTGTGCCCATCACTATACCTACGGCTGCCACCCAGACGCGTGTATCGAAATTCTCTACGCCAGCTAAGAGGTGTCGGGCGAGCTCTGAAAATTAGTTATGTCACACAATAAAATTACGTTAGTTTTAGCTTAGA